TAGCCTATAAATGATGTTTATAATCAAACCAGCTTTCGCCGATACGCTTACCAGGAAGGTCTTTCAGGACATGGAGCCCTTTTTGAAAACGGTTTTTTGCATGATAAAGGGGCACATGCATGGAGTACAAAACTAGGCTCCATTTTTTCTGAGCGGCCCTCTGATGCCAAAAAAGGAGTGGAAAAAATTTCTTCAGAAATCGGAGTTTTCACACCTTCAACGTTCTTTATATCACTCGGTATGTTAAGTGGACGCACAATAGAAGGTTTTCTTCACTTGAACGTTGAAAACAGTGGAATAAAGCCAATACCAAAAATTGTATATAATAAGTGCTCAAAATCACAAGGAAGTTTCATCAGAGTCGTTGACATTCATTGTACAGCGGTGGTCGGATGGTCGAGTGGATAGCGTGATGGACTCTGGTTGGCACGGTTTGTTCGAAGTTGTTGGTTCGGTTCCCCTCCACGCTCGGATTTTTGCATTTTTCCGATTATCACTTTTTTGCATTTGCATGTGCTTGCGCGTGAACTTAAAGGCCTGTAGGTGTTATTTCCAAGACTTTCTCCCACAATTCTGCGATATTTCGTAGTACCATGTTTTTCAGTTGTGTACGAAATTCCGTTTACAAGCAATAAATAACTAGCAGTGATGGTAAAACTCAATGAAGTATCTGAATCACAGGCGCAGATCACACCGACTGCATCTAACGAACGCCAGAAAAGTGAAGTTGCCATTTTCTTCGCAAGGAACACCCACTCCATTTCTCTTGAAGGCAGATGGCCGGCGTTGAGAAACGTCCAGGATGCTCGTCGACGTATGCCAGTGCCCATCCAGGCATACGCCATGCATCGACGAGATCAAGGGTGATGCCAGATTGCCCCATGGGCAGGAACTGCGGTGGAAGTGTAACTATCAACCAAACGTGCCGCTTGCTATCATCTCGAAGCTGTCTCCAAGTGGGAAGCGTGCATGCCGTACTGACTATGGGCTAACCATGGCCCAATTTTTGAATTCGGGCCGAAATCTTGATCTTCTCTAAAACTGCGGCTATAAGGGTAATTATAGGCGCTGATTACGAATCTGACGTCCATTTTTGATGGAGGCGCGATATTGTGCCATTTTAGCCTCCTCGGGCGCTAACTCGGCGCCGCTTTAACGCCATACAATTTTCGCCCCAATTCTGGGTAGAAAGCTAATCAGAAAGGTTGATGTTGACCCTGATTGTAAGAACAGTACCTATTTTTATCGGCGGCAACATTTGGAGTCATTTAACATGCGCTAACATGAAATGCAAAATTTTGTCATCAGCCGGGACCGATCCCTCGACCAATTTTTCATACCTTTTTTGGCACTCACAGGGCCGCTCAGAAAAAATGGAGCCATAGTTTTGTACTCCATGCATGTGCCCCTTTATCATGCAAAAAACCGTTTTCAAAAAGGGCTCCATGTCCTGAAACCTTCCGGAGACCCTTGTTGCAAAGCGTAAGTTTTACTGCTACTTGCAGAAAGAAAAGAAGTGAACAGGTAAAAGAAAACCAAGGAGCGGTAAGTTTTTGGCCCTTGCCGTTTCGGGTGATGGTATCTGCTTAAGTATGCAGGCGGTTGAGAAAAGTTACATAACACTGCATTATTCAGAAAACATGACTGTACGATAAGATACTATCACTTACCGCAATGGCGGCGCCCAAAACCGACGGGCCGATGGTAGCCACAGGGTGACACCACTGAGCCGAACCGTACAGAACCCTGAATCGGCGTGGTCCACGAAGCTGAGGACCTCGTTACGCGAGCCCACGATGTGTCGTTGACATACCCTTCGGGCGCTGCATTACTCTCGGATCATTATCTCCAAATTTTAAGGGGTTTTACCTTACGCCCTGGTGTCTCATAAGGATGTCCGGACCGCCACACCGATCAGGCGCCCGAAAACTTTTGTTGCGTGAATGAAGGCGTGAAGAAAACACATTATCCCCCCAACCTAGCGGGGCCTTGACGCGACTCTGTAATGGATAACGATGCCACCTTTCTCTGGTCGATGTCAACTCTCACCCCAACTTCACCCCCAAAATTACCGCCAACGGTGAGCTGCGGTGTCTATGAGGCCAAACGCCACTGTGGTCTTAAACATCCCTGGCCTTCTCAGGGTAGACCGACAGGTTCCTGTTGGCCTGATAGATAGAAATGGCGACTAACTCACCGATCGGAGCTCTTGAATCGTTGCTTAGATGAATTAAACAGATAAGAACAAAAACTCAAAGTCACCGAGTGTATGCGATTAGGTAGAGTGCTCCAAGTCGCTGACTCGCGCTAACCACTTCAATTTGAGGATGGCTACGGTATAATAATCTCCACCTTTTATTTTTATTTTTGTTTTTACAAATTTTTTTAATAATATTTGTTAAGGTACCGAATTCGGAACTGGTTGCAAAGCTGAATTCGCTATTCAAGGACGTGAAAAACACCGATGTCAGCGCAATACAGCCTCTATGTGTTGCTGCCTATGAGGTGAGGGTTTCTGTTTATAACTGTTCCGGAACTACTTAATCAGGCGAAATTAGAGTTGGCTTCTGCCGCAATGGTGCCTCCTTTCAAAGGCTACCGATCGTGGTGTTGGTAGCGAAGAAAACAAGTCCAGCTGGAGAGTAGATGAGAGCCGAGGCCGTATCCTATCCTTCTCCCAGACTAAGGGAAAAAGAGTCCTTTAAATTTATTTGTTTTCAAAGAAGCAATTCCTTGCCTTTCCGCACATGCCTGCTTTTACACACACCTGCATACATTCCAAATATACACTTTCTCAGGGCAACTTTCTTTCAGAAAACAGGGAAAATTTGAAGGGATTTATTTGTTCCCCTAGCCTGGGATAGGGATAGGATACGGCCCTTGAAGAGTGGTCAATCTGCCATAAAATTTCAACGGTTTCACCTTTATGCTCTGATATGCCAGCCAAATTCTGAAATCTCCTGACGTCTCCTCAATTTTCCACAAACCATCTACTTTTGAAATACCCTTTTTTAAAAATTGAACCTTTCTATACTATTCAATCACTCGCCAACCTATACACAGCGAGTAATTAGTTGGCAGAGAGAGCGTAGATGAGAGTCGTATCAATGAGGAAATCAATTGGCAAGGGAGGGGTACCATTTCTCCGGTTTCGAACCCTTTATCACGGTTTCTTTCCCCACTGACCACCGAAGCTTATTTCCAATAAGCTGTTTTTTATCGTAAAATCAGCCTTCAAAAGAAGCTGGCACGGCACGAGTGAATTGCAGCAGCGAATCGTATTCATCTAGCTTTATGGAGAACAAAGAATTAGAGTTTTTATTACTAGTTGTGCTATTTAGGGCGGAAGTGGTGCAGTGGCAAGTGGCACCGTTACCAGCCACCCTTCTTACACGCGCGACGATTCCGGGATCAAATCCTGGGTCGTGAGTCGCCCGGGCCAACCAAGCCTTCCATCCCTCCGGGGTCGGTTAATTGGTACCAGACTTGTCTGGGAGGATAAAAACACTGACTTGTACATCGGCTGGCCCCCGCAAGTCATTGTATAGGCCACATCGCATTCAAACGCCACTACGAATGTACAAATGGAAGTAGAATGCGTGCCGCATCCAAAAAAGGAGTATGTAGTAAATGCTACCCAGTCCTAATTTGGGTACAGAAGCCTGAACGGGGAACCCGTTCTGATTACAGCGCTTTTCTGTTTGGTAGAGGATCAAACGTCTCCACACAAATTACAATTTGGTCTGATGGGCCGTAAATCTTATTTTTACATCATTACAGGACTCGCATGTGCCCACAGCCAACGACCCTCGACGTTTACGCAGGATAGTTGAGCGTGCCAGCTGCTGCATAAAGGAATTATCTGACAGTCCGTCATTGAAAATGACGGTTTTTTTTGAATAATTTCAAAGGGATACATATATAAATAGACACATCTGTGTATTGATCACATCAGAGTTATCAAACCACGTTCTCCGATCAGATGTTCATATTCGCTTCATTGAATGTTTTTATCGAAACTCCATTTCAGTAGACTTATTTATGAGGCAAAATTCTGTTTGTTTCTAAAATATGTTTTTTTTATATTGTACCTCAGTGCGACTTACTGAATAGATTTTCTGTGAACATGTGTACAAGATTTCACGGCTCAGCACCTTCCCTAGATCGTCGTAGAATGCTGGAGAGCAGGCTGCGTGGACCTTGTTTTCCAAGATTTTCATAGTGTGGAATGGACAAAGCTCACATCAAAATCGCTCATTTGTAAGGATTAAAGGCAGAATTTACGACAAAAAGTTAGCTCATTGGAAATAAGGGTAGAGGTGGTCAGTGGAGCAGGGATGAAGAAGAAACCATTGAAACGGCCCGAAACCCGAGAAATGGGACCCCTTCCTTGCCCGTTGATTTGCGCATTGATGACTCTCATCGCTGTGCCCTCTTCAACACTACGCTCTCTCTGCTATCTAATCACTCGCCACGTATAGACCTGCGGCGAGTGATTAGATAGTCGGTGGGCGTACCCCGCCAACCGCGCCAAGAGTGAGCCATGCTAGATCGCCGAGGTCAAATCTTTCGCTGCCAATTGCGCGTCGGTCAGCACCCTCAGGAGGTCCGCCTGTCTCCCAACTATGCAATTTTCCCCTTCTTTGACCTTCGTTCTTATCGTGAATTCCTCCTTCAACGCCTACGACGACAAAGCATGTCAGCCATAACCAAAATCGCTTGATTTGTACTCACGGCATTACGGTATGTGTGAGAACCTGTCTGTTGTCTCATACCGTAATCACATCACGAGAGGGGTAGCGCTACATGGACCCTAAGCGGAGGTGAAATAGGACCGAATATCGCCAGTCTACGCTTTCATCCTTCTAAGGCGGCTAAGTGAGGCCGGAGTCAATTTTTGATAAATAAAAGGATATATGTAGCGAATGACCC